GAGGGCCTGCCCCTCCTCCCCTGCTAAGGGGCAGGCCCCTGGGACCTCCCCTTCCCCAGGCTGAGGGCAGGGGTGGGTTGTAAGCCCAGCTGAGCCCCGGCAGTCCTGAAAGGCCCCAGGCCTTGGCTGCGCTCCCCTGGGAAAGCCCTGTCACCCTTGTTGGAGATTTCAAAGGCACGAGAGTGCTGGGGTGCTCCTTCTGTCTGGCTGACCGCTGCCCCGGATGACAGTGCTCGCTCAGCGGCCTACCCAGGCCCCAGTTACTCAACGGCCTGGGGGAGGGCTGAACCCTAGACAGTGCGGGGTGGGGGGGTGCTGTGGGCCCCCTGGGGCAGGTGAGCAGCAGGGGCGAGTGGTCCAGGCTGATGTGGTCCTGCCCGGTGTCGGGCTCAGGGAATGAACTCAGGCCACTCGGCCATACCTGCCCTTCCTCCTAGGGCCTGGCTCCAGCCCACACACAGGAGGGGAGCAGAAGCCCCATGAAATCCTAGAGCGGGCCATGGGCCCTGGGGCTGTGGCACACCCAGCTGCAATCTGGGGTGGGTGCTGACAAGGCCCAGCAGCAGCTCCTCCATCCATCCATCCACGGACCCGGCTCATATACTCGCTTGCACACCCATCCCTGAAAGTCTGGGCTGTGTCAGGAAGTGGTTTAATTAGCAGAGTGGCGGCTCGGAGGGTTCACAGGGAGTGTGCCGCTCTCACGCCTCCACCCCTTCTCACCAAGAGTGGTGCCACGCAGCGGTGCCAAGCTTGGGGGCAGAGTGAGTGGGAAGCGGGGGCCTGTCTCCTGCAGAGGAAGGAGCTGGGCCTGCACACGCCCCTCCAGGGGCCTCCTGCTGCCCCCCTGCCCCAGGCACCTAGACACCCCCCAGGCTGGCAGCCCACACAGGCTGCCTTCCCGGTGCTGCTCCCAGGTGTTGAGGGGGCACTCCCACCCTCCAGGAGGGTTTGGGGTGGAACCCAGGCCCAGGGGACTCAGCACCCAGCCTGTCTCAGGGAAGCCTCCAGGCTGGTGGCCGGGCCCCTCAGCCCCACTGCCGCCCACTCCCTGCTGCTAAGGACACTAGGTCTCCACTGGTCCCTCCAACTCTTCACCCGTAACCACAGTGAGCTTGGTCTGCTCATGTTCTTCCCTGCCGGGGTGCCATCGCTGGCCCCTACGCCCCTTGTGTGAAGCCCCTCTGCAGAGCATTCCACCGCCCTGCACCCCCACCAGAAACCCATGTCCCTCTCCAGCTCAGGCTACTGTCCTCTACTCACTCAGAGCTCTTGAAATGCCCTTCCTGCGCCACCTCACCCTGCTGACCCTGCAGGCAGTCCACCCCCCAATAGAAAAGTCCCCCTCCAGCCCACAGCCCTCTGCCATCAGGTAAGGGGGCTGTGCTGACCATGTGGGCCCCCGGGAGAGAAGGGACCCCCACATTGCAGGGGGGTTGGGCGGGACGGCCCTGAGGACAGCGCCTAGGTGGGGAGGGACTCAGCAGGCCCAGCTCAATCTCCAGGCCGAGTCACAAAGGGCCTTTCATGTATAAAGGTCAGATACAAGCTGACCTCAGCCTGGAAGTCCAGAATGAGCGAAAACCTCACACTAGCTCTGAACTGCTGACCAGAATCTGAACTCCGCCCTCTGAGCCACAGGGCAGCTCCAGCCAGCGGGGGGCCCCGCTTGCTTGTTGCTCCTTGAAAACGCCACTCGGCTAAGTCCCCAGCTCCAAGCCCACCTGCGCGTCCAGCAGCCCATCCCAGGCATCTGATTAATGACACCCACATAAAAATCCATACCTAAGAGCCAGAGGTTGAAATGAAGCAGGAGGGCTAATTGCTAATAGAGGAATTAATATCGTGGCACTTCGAGCCTCGAGGCAGCTGGCAACTGTTAGGCGAGGAGCGTTCCACTTGGAGTGGACGCCTGGAGGCCGGAGGTGGGGCAGTGGCGCTGGAGGGTGGACGGGCGCTGGCAGCCGGGGACCACACTGGCCACACCTGCCCACTCTAGCCAGCCACTGAGCTCACGTGTAACTGTCTCGACGTGGGCGTCTGCGGGACCCCAGGACCCCAGCACAGTGACACCTTCCCTAGGAAGCCTCCTGTGACCCATCCCTGCCCCATCAGGCTGGGCAGGGGGCCGTTTTGCTCCCAGAATGTGTGCCTCAATGATGGCTCACTCGGGCCATCTGCAAAGCAGTGGCCTCGCCAGGACTGAGAGTTCCTGGGGGCAGGGGCTCCTCTTTGGATTCCAGTGTCTTGCGGGGTGCCAGGGGCATTACTGGGCTTGGTACATGCTTGCCGGCTCTCTGTATGGAGGATGGATGGATGGATGGATGGATGGATGGACAACAGGAAGGTGGACAGGGAGATGAACGGACGGATGGAGATGGAGGGTGGGAGGAGCGGGAGGAGGAGGGAAGGAGGGGCGGGTGGGAGGGTGCCTGGGTGGACAGGCGGGGGCTGGGAGGGCTGGGATGGAGGCATGGGTGGAAGGATGAACTGAGGGATGGCGCGCTGGGCAGATGGGGATGGAGAAATGGCTGGCGGGGTGACCGCACGAGAGGCCTCAGGTGGAGCCCCAGGTCCCTTGGCGGGGTGGGCTCAGGGCCGCCTTGCATGTGTTTGCCGGCCTGTCTGTGTTGCGCCGGGACTTGGCATTCTGCAGGAGAAAGGAGCCGCCATGAGTCCCAGACCACGGCTGGCAGCTGCAGGTGTGCAGCCTTGGACAAGGGGCACAACACCTGCGCCCTGGAGATGGGCCTCCTGCCCTGCCAGCTGAGCTGTCCGGAGCTCAGAGGAGACAGCAAAACAGAATGACCAGAGAAGGACAAGGAGCATTGTCCCCTGGTAGTGGCACATGTGTGTGGGCAGGTCAGCCATAGTCAGAGAGGGTGGAGTTGTGGGGTGTGCACTGGGCTTTCTCCCCGCCCTCGCTGACATTTCCTTAAGTACAGTTATGACGTTACTTGTAACAAAAAGGAAAATTGTGTAACCATCTCAAGTACTGACAGAGGGAAGCTTTTGTTCCTTTGACCCCAAAATTGGTTCTTTGGTGCCCGGGCACAGAGGCCAGGCCTGGAGTCTTGGGGAACAGGGGAGGGCTGGGACGGAAGGGGGTGAGCAGAGGCTGCCTGTCGGGGAGCGCCCAGAGCCGGCCAAAGAGGAGCCTCTGTTTCTGAACCCTGGGGACCCTAAGGTTCATTCTGTCCTTGGTCAACTTGCGTGACCACACAGGAGTCCACACGCCACCACTGACGGGGTGGGCTTACTGGACGCAGAACAGGGCTCATTTGCCTATTGATTCCTGGGTCTCGTTTGGTTCAGTGAATGCAGGCGGCTACTAACAATCCTCATCACACCCACAGTGGAGGGAGCCCACACCTCCAAGCACTGCCAGCCGGGCTGACCCTGAATATAAATACACTCCCTAGATGCCCGAGAGGCTCCCCCTCACCCACAGCAGAAACAGCGGAGGGACCCAGTATCCTCAGTGGGGTCTGGGGCATGCTGTTCCTAAGAGGCTTTGCAGGACCACAGGGGAGGTGGGGGGAGTAGGGGAAGTGGGGGGAATAGGGAGGCAGACCCAGGATGTACTAAGCTGGACAGGCTCACCAAGAGCCCTGGTCTTCTAAATGAGGAAGCCCAGTGGGGGGAATTCATGGGGTGCATTTATTAGGCACCCACTGTGTGCAAGGCATGGAGCCAGGGGCTGGGAGCTCAGCCCCAGACAAATAGATGTCCCCTTCCCTGCACCAAGGGGACAATTCGGGCAGGCCACCATCGTGGCCTCTGTGATCGCTCAGAGGGGCGAGTGGTTGCAGGTGAGGGGTGACGTGGGTGGAGCCTTGCAGGTGGGGAACAGGCAACAGGTGGGAAGGCAGCAGGAGACAGCTCCAGCCATTAGGGGGCCTGGTGGGGGTTTTGATCCAGGGGGCGTGGGAAGGGCCCCGCCCCACGGGACGGAGCCACCTTCCTGGATCCAGGATTTTGAAAGCTGAGCTCGGTGGTGTCTGTGTGCTGGGGATCAGCCACGGCTGGCTGGAGCCTCCGGCTCCGAGGACACATCCCCTCTAATATGGAGGCCCAATAGCCTCTGCCCCACCTCCCGCTGCATAAAACAATTTCCTCGCCCTGGCCTGGGAGGCAGATGACCTCATTGGATGCTTTCCATCTCTCGCTTTCATACAGAAATTACAATTTATAATTGGATGAAATCACGCAGTGTAATAGCAACGCGAGTCTGCACTGGAGCCGGGTGCTCGATGCTCGCTCGATGCTTATGCAGAGACTGTCCTCCTCTTCCCTTCTGTCCAACCCCCTTCCTGCCCCTTGGGGAATGGGAGGCTGCACCCCACCTGCCTGCTCACACCTTGAGTATGTACCAGGCCCTGGATTGACGTCTCACGGGACTTGCTGGCTCTTAAGCCTCCTTCCTTCTGGGAAGCGGGTCCCCAGCATATCCCCTTCACCCTGTTCACCCCATGTCCACCCCATCTACCTCCCCCTGGCCAGGACCTGCCCCTCAGCCTACATGCTCTCCCTAATAGACTGGACATCCAGTGGGGGGGGGCAAGCCCCCATCTGGGCACTAGGCATATTAACCCCCCCAAATAGCTTCGTTTTTATTCATAACAGCCCCAGACAAGCATTCCCAAATCATCCACCTTCAGCCCTACAAAGGAAAGTGCCCAGATGCAGCTGAGCCCATCTAGATCTGATTTCAAACCAGAGCTAACACTCAGATGTGTAATAAAAGCCCTTTTCCAAAGAGGGGCCCCTGCAGGGGAGAAACGACATCGGGGCACGTGGGCCTCAGACACGCCGTGCTAATGAGAGTCGAACGCAGAGGGCTGGGTTCCGTTTGGGATCCCCAGGTCTGTGGATGGGGAGGCGGCCACAGGAGGTGGCTGGAGGTCCGGAGCCCTGACCCTGGCCTGGGCAGTGGGGCAGGGGAGGAGGGAGGCCAGGGGCACAGAGACCCGGCTTCCTGGCCCCCTGGAGCTCCTGCTTCTGCGGTGGGAAGGCAGTGCCTGCTCTGGAAGCCAAGGCCACAGTGGCCCAGTTGGATCGTTTGAACATTTAGCAAGAGGAGCAGGTGCTGGGGGAAGAGCAGCCAGCTCCGGCCGGAGGGCGCTGCCCTGCACTGCCAGCTCTCCCCACTGTCTCTCCTCCCAACCCCTCCACCCCCAGGAAGAGGGCCGCCGGGAGTCGGGGGAGGCTGCCGGCAGGGCCAGCTGTTTGCTATCTGGATTTTCAAGAGAAGGGAGATGGCGGAGAATAATCCCAGTGCCCTCCCAGTTCAAGGGAAAGTGGCATTCTGGAAACGGGTTCTGGAGGGAGGCAAGGAGGGGGCTGAGCCCAGGCTCCTAATTTCCCTGGGTTTCATCACTTGTATTGTTTTTTTGGCAGGTGAGGAGGCAGGAAGTGGGAGAAGGAGGATTCCTCTCTGGACAGACAAGACGGGGGGAAGGCAGGAATAACCCATCCCCCAGCCTCCCCAGCACGAAAACCTCCAGAAGCAGGCGCAGCCAAGCAGGACCGAGCACCCCTGAGCATCTTCCCACTGGGGGGCATGTGGGGCCTGACAGCCCAGCAGAGCATGTCAGCAGCCCCAGCCCCGCGGTGAGCATCCGAACCCCTCCACAGGGTAGTGGACCCGGCCTCCCCCCGCCCCCGGAGACACAGCCTGAGTGGCAGGAACACCGATTCTTTGGAGAGCGGTTCCCTCTCCGCTGTCACGCAAGACCGCTCTCTGCACCAGCCCATTCTGCCGAGTGACTTAAAGGGATTAAAAAAAAAAACAACTCGATAAAGAAAAGGGGTAAAAGCCACGCAGAAGCCTCAGAGGAGGCGGGCCGACAGACAAAGAGTGAAAGTTGAGAGCGAGCAGCGAGTGGCCACAGAGGCCCCCTCCCTGGATGGGCACCAGACCATAGGGCATGCCCGGGGAGCAGGGGCCCAGCACACCCCCAGTCTACGTGAGGAAATCCCAGGGCCACGGGGGGCGCCCCTACAGGTCCCTTGAGCACAGCCCTCACTTTGTGAAGAGAGGCCAGCAGTGCCTGTGGCTCAGGGCACCAGGGATGCTGCTCCGGACCCACAGACGCATCTGAACTCGAGGAGCCCAGCAGAGAGAAGCACAGGCCCACCTCCCTGTGCCCCAGGGGTGCCCCCATCGCCTCCAACACCCCAGGTTTGCACCCTGAGTGCCACGGCTGTGGACGGAAATGTGAGTGTGGCCCAGGCCCCGTGTCCGGAGGCGCAGCATCCAGAGTGGAGACCCCAGCCGGACCCAGCAGGCTCCAGGGCTGCAGCGAAGGAGGTAAGGATGATTGGGACAGTTCTGGGGTGGCCCTGAGGGCCCAGGGGTTCCTCCCGCAGAGAGGTCTACCCCGAGGCGTGGGCCCAGGGAATCAAGCAGTGGCCCTTTCTGGAGTGAAAGGATCACCCACCCCTGCTGTGGCTGCACAAGTGAGACCCTCCTGTTCTGCCCGTAGCGGGCAGCAGGGAGCCTTAGGGAGGGGGACCTTGGGGCACCTGTGCCACAGGCCAGGGCACCTGCTGCCTCCTTCTGGAGGAAGCCCAGGGGTCCCCTCCATCCAGACAGCCTCTGTCCTGGCCGGGGTGGGGGGGGGGCCCAGGTCGGGCTTGCCACCCAGGGCTCTGCTCCCGCGGGCTCCGGAGCCCACGCGCCGGCTTCCCGCTCTGCCCGGGTGTGGGAAGGCGGCCCCGAGGCGCCCCCAGGTCACGAAGCAGCCCCGGGTCGCACGGGGGAGGGGCGGGGGCGGGCGGGGCGGGGCCGCAGCCTCGGGGGCGGGATTGCTTCTCCCCAAACTCGAATCCCAGGCAACCCCGAGCGCGGCGCCCAGGGCAGGGCAGGGCAGCCCCAATTCATTACCGAGATGGAAAATGACTCTCGGGCGCGCTCTTCCCCGGGAGAGGGGCTGATGGATGGCCGCGCCGGGGCCGGGACATCCGTCAGCGCGCGGCGCGCACGCCGTCTGCGGGGCATTAATAGTCGTGTTATTAGCCACCGGCGTGAAAGATGCCCTGCGGATCGGCTATTTGCTGTTATTTATTACAAAGGCGCGCCAGCCCGAGCCCGAGCCCGCCCGACGCAGCGGGGCGCCCGCGCTCCCGCCGCCTCACCTGGCGCGCCCTTGGGCGCACGGGACGCCCTTGGGCGCACGGGACGCGGCTCGCAGGGCCGTGCCCCGCTGGAAAGGAGTCTGTGCAGCTGGCGCTGAGCTACTTCTATTAAGTAGCTATTAACCCTCCATCAGGCTAGAGGCATTCCAGACCCGCTTGGAGGGGGAAGCCCTGCGAGAGGTGGGGCACTTGTCTGCCGTCTTCCACCCCAGGCCCGCCCCCTGGAAAGGGCAGGAGACCTCCGGCCTAGAACTTCCCCATTCAGGGCCTCCTGTTTTCCTCCTCTGTAAAAAGGTCCTATACCTCCCAATTCCGGGGTCCGGAGGGCTAGGGTTCCGGCTTATGTGTGTCTGGCCTGGACAGGGTGGCATGGAGAGGGCCAGCCTCTGACGCCTGGAAAACCGGTGGTTGAGCAGTGCCTGGCCAGCCACCCCTTATCAAAGGGGACCAGTGGGGACAGCCAGGAATCTCCCTGGAGTTTGCTTCATCCAGGCTGGGGTGACTGGGCAGCCGAGGGGGGCAGGTGAGACACCTGGGAAGGGAGGAGCACTGGACAGTGAGTCCAAGGCCTGGGTCTGCATCACTACCTCTCCAGTGGGGCTGGAGGAAGATGCTGGCCCCCCTCGCTCCTCCCATTACCTACTCCTCAGATTCTGGGGCTTCCCTTTTGGCATCTCCATTCATTCATTCATTCATTCACGCATTCATTCAGACGTTTATGAGCATCTCCTGGCTCATCCAGGTCAGTGAGTGAGCCCTGGACTTTCAGATGTATCCCGACTTATAGGATGGACATTCTAGTGGGAGGGGTTGGACAGTCAATCATGATAAATAAGTAGGGGGGCCCTCTCCAGGAGCAGGGCCTCCATGTGGCTTTATGATCAGTAAGACCACCGCACCTGGTTTTCGCTGGTCCCCGTTCCTCTCTCGGCTCCTCACCATGGATCCCACTGGCTGCAGAGAAGTCCAGCAGCACAGACCCCGGGGTGCCACCCTGTTCTGGGGGCTGCTGTCATCCCTGCAGGGGAGGCCTTCTGTTCCTCCCTAACTCCCCCAGCCCCCTTCTCTACTGTCTGCAACTTCCCTGGTCTTTCCTTTTCCTTCCTGAAAGGAATTCATCTCAGTCTAAACATACAGAGACAGAACTATCAAGAGCAGGAACATCTTATTAAATAAGGTGGAGAGAGAAAGAAACAAAATTACACGTGTCTCCTTTCATCCCCCACCCCCTCCTGGCCTGGAATAGTTTAATATCGAACCATGTTATCAATATAATTAACCTCCTCAGACACAATTTTAAAGTCTTGTTTTTTAAAGTGATTTGCATTCTCTGAAGTTCGGGGCATCCCGCCACCTGACGTGGCCCACGCAGAGAGGTGAACTCCAGGTACATCTCCAGCGGATTTGCATACCTGTCTGCAATCACCGCCAGTGATAACAGCTAATGCATAATGCATGCAGCATGAAATTAGAAAAATAATTAACTTTAGGTTTTAAAAGAAGGGGCACCCCCGCCCTGACGCATTACAAGTTCTCAATGGCAGCCACAGACAGATCAGGGGCAACCTCGTACAAGGCAGGGCTGGAAAGGCCTTGAGGGTGGTGGGTCCAGCTCCCTGCCAGAAGGAGGTGCCTCTGGGGGGCCTAGCCCCCAGGGCCGGGGCAGGAACAGCCCTCAGCATGTGCCTGAACTGGAGTTGGGAAAACCCTGCTCACCCAAAAGTCCCAAGTTCTCCTTCCTGACCTCCCAGTGCACAGCTCCTGGGTCTGGAAGAGCTGCCTGCTGCCAGGAGCAGCTAGAGTGACCCAGAGTGACCACGTTTCATCCTTCAGAGAACCCGGGAGTGCATTGCTCATGGCCTGAGACCCAGGGGTGCCCTCAGGAGGTGGGGCAGCTGCCCCAGGTCCCCCTTCAGGGGGGATCTCTAGTCTCTGCCACTTCACTGTTCCCCTCCCCCTCACTGAACACAAGGATCTGCTGTCAATCACAGGGCTGGCAGGTCATAACTCATACCATGCTGGTGTCTGCGGGACCCATGCGACAAGCAACCCCATAAAAGACGGGCGATTTACCAGGTTTGATTTGACGGCCACATAAACCATCCAACGCACCACAGGGAATGAAAAGGCCCCTGGCACCCTGGCAATTACAGGGGTCCCCCTGGGAGGCGAGCTCACGTCCTCCCTACCCGCAGGCCCTGCCCTGCTTCACTGGAGCCAGAGGGCTCAGTGTGGGGTGGCCTTGGGGAAAGGGGGAGGCCGGGGGACTCAGCCAAGATGGATGAGGCCCACAGACAGGGGAATGGAAAGGCCTTGGGTGCCTGCCTCCCCAGTGCTTCTTAATTATCCACCAGGCATCTCTGGGAGGCGCAGTTTACACTCTAATGACGCCAGGGCCTCTGGAGGGCAAGGACTATAGCCGTGAGCTGATGTCCACGCCAGAAGACGTGGTGGTGGCTGCCCTTGGTGTTGGTGTTAACGAGCCTGCCCCGGCTCAGGGCATGGCCCGGCATGGCCGTGTCCGGAGACCCTTGCACCCCAGTGCTGGGTGACTCAGCAGCTGACAGACCAGGGAAGGGGTGTGTCCTCTGGCCAGATGCTGGGGACTCAGAACAGAGTCCCTCACAGGTCAGATGTGACCCCAAGGCTAAGGAGGGTGGCCTTTGAGCAGTCTTTCCTGCCCCACACCTGCCCAGCCTGCCTCTCTGCCCATGGCAGCCTCTGACAGGATCACCAGGCCCCACCACTTCCTCAGCTCTGGCTTCAGAGGAGGGGACAGGTGTGCAGACGGAGGGTCGGAGGCCTCGTGTGTCTGTGAGAGGTGGGCGCAGGTACGACGTGCACTTGGAGAGAGAGTCACCCCGGTACCTGTCTCTCCTGTGCTCTCAAGGCGGCATGTCCAGCTGGGTGGCCCACTAGTGGGGTCCAGTGCCCCTCCCAGCCCCTGGGATGAGGAGCAAGTCCGAGGTAGGCTAAGGAGTCTGGAGGGGACGTGCCTGGAGGAGGGCAGCCAGGGCGAGGGGAAACCCAGACGACAGCCAGGGCCACCCAGAGCCGGGCGCTCAGCGTGCGGGAAGCAAACACCAACTCCAAGTCCAAGGGTGGGGGTGAGAGTAGGTCACAGCCCCTGACTAACAGCCATGAGCTTGGGGGAACAGTGAGGAATAATCTGGAGAGCATCTTGGCCCCTCAGGCGGCGGTGCTAACTTCAGCCCCCTTTCTCTGGCTCCCCTTGGGGCTGGGAGACACAGACTCGCGTGCTCATCCCCCTGCCCTTGCTTGCCCTCTACCTGGCTTGGACCCACCTCCAGGACCGAGAAAACTTTATGCTCTAACGGGCCCTGAGCTGGGGTGTTGGGTAACCATGGGCATGGCCACAGGGCTGCCTTGGCAAAGGTCCCTGAAAGTTCAGCGGGCACCAGCACGCAGGGTGGTGGCCCTGGGGGCGGTTCCGCTCACTTGGCCCTGCAGCCCGCTCCCTCTGTCTCTGAAGGAAGCCACACAGCCCCCGCCCCTGCCCCTGAGCACCAGAAATCCAGTAGGAACGTTAGACAGCAGTCACCAGACAGCTTGACCGAAAGCCCACAGGTGTGGCACCGGGACACTAGACGTGGCACCCGCAGCCCAGCGGTCAAATTCCAGCCCGAGACCCAGAGGCCAGGCCCCTCCTCTCCCCTGCACAAGTCGTCTTGACTAAGTTAATGACATCTCTAAGCTTCGCTTTTCTCATCTGCTAAATGGTAATGAGAAGCTCCAACCTGGTGTTTGGGGGCAGGGTTAAGTGACTTATGTATTCATAAAGCTCTAGGAGAAAACTTTGTTGTAGTGTGAGCTCTACCATCCCACCAGAATAGAATCCCAAGTGGCTAGAACATGGGCTGGCACGTGATAGGTGCTCAATAGAGTTCTGTTGGATGGGTGGGGGGGGAGGGGTGGCTGGGGGAGTGGATGGAAGCGTGACTGGTTAGACGGTGGAGCAGAGGGAAGCTCTATCTGGCATCAGAAGGCCTAGCAGAGGAGACATCTGCGATGGGCCCTGAGGCTGGAGAGCAGTTTGCTGGCTGGGGAGGAGCACTGCAGGGACAGCGGGCCAGACAGGGGAGAAGGCTTGCCACGGTTAAGAAATGGACACTGGGCCCCGGGGCACGGGAGAGGGTCCCACACAGACTCATTTGGGGCAGTCTCTGCTCTGCACACTGGGCTGCCCTCCAGGCTGGGGCCCAGCCCGACTCCAAGAGGCCGTCATGTCCACCAGCGAGAAGCCTTAATGAACGCGTCTTACCCGGCAGACCCCTGCCAGCGGCAGGAAGGCACCTCCCACCGAGGCTGAGAGATAGTTTCTTCTTAATTTACTTTTTTTACCACAGTGAACAGTAAAGTAATATGGGGAAAATCTAGGCTGCAATTTTTCCATTTGTGAAAACGGAAATTACACCTTGTATGCAGTTCTCACAGAGCACAGACCCCCCCTTCTGTTTGTCTCAATACAAGAAATGCATATAGGTTCACAGACACACACACAAACACACACACACGCATGCACACACACTCACGTGTGCACAAGCACACACACGTATGTATTTCTAAATAGCTGAAAGCCTCGCCACCCGGGAAGGGGGTGAGGTGTGGCATAATTTCCCATCAACACGGAGCACGGTGAGGGAGGGCGTCTCCCCGGAGAGAGATTTTTGCAAATACACAAGGAAGCTGTTCTGTCGACACCTTCTTTCATCTCTAAAATGCATGAGTGACAAACAGGACGCGCTCTGACACCAGGCGTGAGGCCCTGCTCTCCGCTGCACGGCAGTGAGGATGCAGGCGGCCTCTCCTTTGCAGGTTCTGGCAACGCGCCCCCCTTCTGAGCTCGCAGGCCCCTCGAAACCAGCTTTCCCTCCCAGCCCTGGGTCAGAGCCAGACAGGCATGCAGGGCCCCTCGCTAGTGAGAAAGGGTGGCTCTGAATCCATCAAGCATGCCCTGAGTCCCTCCATCTGTGTGGACCAGCCACTTTTTTTTTTTAAATAAATTTTATTTTTATATTCCCCATACAATTGCAATCCCCTTATTTTGACCCCAATCCCTCCCCTCCCCGCCCTCCACCCCTCATAGAGTGTCTCTGGTTCATAGTTTTTTGTTGATTTTGATTTTCACTTTCTTATAGTTATTCATTCTCCTGGTCCCTTATTTAGGTTTTCTAGATTCCTGCTATGAGTGAGACCATCCGGTATTTTTCTTTTTCTTTCTGGCTTATTTCGCTGAGCATGATCCCTTCCAGCGCCATCCATGTTGCTGCAAATTGCATGTGTTTATCTTTTTTGATTGCTGAGTAATATTCCATGGTGTATATGTACCACATCTTCTTGCTCCAGTCATCTATTTTTGGGCATTTGGGTTGATTCCAAAGCTTAGCTATTGTAAACAGTGCTGCTATAAACATAGGGGTGCAGGTGCTCTTTGGAATTGATGTTTCTGTGTCCTTTGGGTAAATACCTGGGAGTGGAATTGCTGGATCCTATGGAAGCTCTATGTTTAGTAGGTCCAGAAATCTCCACACAGCTCTCCATAGTGGTTGGACCAGTTTGCACTCCCACCAACAGTGCAGAAGAGTTCCTTTTTCTCCACACCCTCGCCAACATTTGTTGTTGTTAGTTTTTTTAATATGTGCCATTCTCACTGGTGTAAGATGGTATCTCATGGTAGTTTTGATTTGCATTTCCCTGATGACAAGTGATGTTGAACATTTTTTCATAGGCCTGTTGTGGACCAGCCACTTTTAGCATCAGCCCTAAAGACTGGCTCGGGGTGAACTCCTGAGCAAAAAAACCGAGTTGCCTTCACAAAATCCCTGCCCCTGTTGGGCCCACGGTCCCGTCCACAAGGCCACTGACTGATGGTGGTGAGGTCTAACGGTGCCAGCTGTCCCTCAGAGCCCAAAGCCAGCCCGAATGACCACCACCGGGGACCCAGGGGTCTGACCCTGGGTGGCGGGGGGTGGGGAGGAGACCCATTCTCACCACAAGTGTCCTGTGCCCCTGTAGGTGCCGCGGCTCCGAGTCAGGTGGGGCCGGGCCCCCCAGCCTTCCACCATGGTGGTGGCCCACCCCACCACACCTGCCACTGCCTCGCCCTCTGCCACTGTCACAGCCACGGTGGTGATGACCACGGCCACCATGGACCTGCGGGACTGGCTGTTCCTCTGCTACGGGCTCATCGCCTTCCTGACGGAGGTCATCGACAGCACCACCTGCCCCTCCGTGTGCCGCTGCGACAACGGCTTCATCTACTGCAACGACCGGGGGCTCACCTCCATCCCCGACGACATCCCCGATGACGCCACCACCCTCTACCTGCAGAACAACCAGATCAACAACGCCGGCATCCCCCAAGCCCTCAAGACCAAGGTGAGCGTGCAGGTCATCTACCTGTATGAGAACGACCTGGATGAGTTCCCTGTGAACCTGCCCCGCTCCCTGCGGGAGCTGCACCTGCAGGACAACAATGTACGCACCATCGCCAGGGACTCGCTGGCCCGCATCCCGCTGCTGGAGAAGCTGCACCTGGACGACAACTCCGTGTCCACCGTCAGCATCGAGGAGGACGCCTTTGCTGACAGCAAGCAGCTCAAGCTGCTCTTCCTGAGCCGCAACCACCTGAGCAGCATCCCCTCGGGGCTGCCCCGCACGTTGGAGGAGCTGCGGCTGGACGACAACCGCATCTCCACCATCCCGCTGCACGCCTTCAAGGGCCTCAACAGCCTGCGGCGCCTGGTGCTGGATGGCAACCTGCTGGCCAACCAGCGCATCGCGGATGACACCTTCAGCCGCCTGCAGAACCTCACCGAGCTCTCGCTGGTGCGCAACTCGCTGGCCGCCCCGCCCCTCAACCTGCCCAGCACCCACCTGCAGAAGCTCTATCTGCAGGACAACGCCATCAGCCACGTGCCCTACAACACACTGGCCAAGATGCGCGAGCTGGAGCGGCTGGACCTATCCAACAACAACCTCACCACACTGCCCCGTGGCCTGTTCGATGACCTGGAGAACCTGGCCCAGCTGCTGCTCAGGAACAATCCCTGGTTCTGTGGCTGTAACCTCATGTGGCTGCGGGACTGGGTGAAGGCACGGGCGGCCGTGGTCAATGTGCGGGGCCTCATGTGCCAGGGCCCCGAGAAGGTCCGGGGCATGGCTATCAAGGACATCACCAGCGAGATGGACGAGTGCTTCGAAGCAGGGTCGCCAGGCAGCGTGGCCAACGCCGCCCCCAAGACCACGGCTGGCAACCATGCATCGGCCACCACACCCCAGGGCTCCCTCTTCACCCTCAAGGCCAAGAGGCCGGGGCTGCGCCTCCCCGACTCCAGCCTTGACTACCCCATGGCCACGGGTGAGGGCGCCAAGACCCTGGTCATCCACGTGAAGGCCCTGACGGCTGACTCCATCCGCATCACGTGGAAGGCCATGCTCCCCGCCTCCTCCTTCCGGCTCAGCTGGCTGCGCCTGGGTCACAGCCCGGCCGTGGGCTCCATCACAGAGACCCTGGTGCAGGGGGACAAGACAGAGTACCTGCTGACCGCCCTGGAGCCCAAGTCCACCTACATCATCTGCATGGTCACCATGGAGACCGGCAACACCTACGTGGCCGACGAGACACCCGTGTGTGCCAAGGCGGAGACGGCCGACAGCTACGGCCCCACCACCACGCTCAACCAGGAGCAGAACGCTGACCCCATGGCGGGCCTGCCCCTGGCGGGCATCATCGGCGGCGCGGTCGCCCTTGTGTTCCTCTTCCTGGTCCTGGGAGCCATCTGCTGGCACGTGCACCGGGCCGGCGAGCTACTGACCCGGGAGAGGGCTTACAACCGAGGCAGCCGGAAAAAAGACGACTACATGGAGTCGGGGACCAAGAAGGATAACTCCATCCTGGAAATCCGCGGCCCCGGGCTGCAGATGCTGCCCATCAACCCCTACCGCGCCAAAGAGGAGTACGTGGTCCACACCATCTTCCCCTCCAACGGCAGCAGCCTCTGCAAGGGCACGCACACCATTGGCTACGGCACCACGCGGGGCTACCGGGACGCCGGCATCCCCGACATCGACTATTCCTACACCTGACGCCGCGGCCGCGCCCGCCGGCTCCCGCCCCTCCGCGAGGCGACCAGGGGGCCCTGCCCCGCCTGCCGCCACCCAACAGCAAAGGAAAGAAATGCCACCATGACTCTCCCGGCAGAAAGCGAGTTTGGGGAGGGTGGATGATTTGGTAGAACACAATGAAAAACCTTTTTTTTTTAGTCATAGGAAGGCAGGAGGGAGATCTGATGTTGCTGAAGGCATAATTTATACCGAATCACGCCAGTTGGGGAGGGAAGGACTAAAAATAATGTGGCAGGAAAGGTTGGGCTGGGTTTTTTTTCCCTGAACTGGCAAGATACTACCTGTGCACGTCTGCGCTTCGCGCTCTGTTCAGGGCACAAAAGAACCGTCAGAGAGAAGCAGCCGCCGAGCACGGCCCCCACGCGGCGCCCGGGCTGCTCTGCTCGCTGCGCCCGTGGGACGGAAGGTTTCAGGCGCCTCACAAAGGAAAGCAGGAAGAAAAGAGCTTTGCTGTGGAGATATTGTCCTGAAATCTCTTCCCCGGTTCTTTCCATACCGTCTCCCTTCCAGATCGGCAGAAATAGCACCTTTCACTGCATTCTTTGAACAATTCTGTAGTCGATTAAAAAACCAACCTTTTTCTTACACTGGAGCCCTCTTCAGTTCCATGCACCACACGCGTGGGCCCACGGAAGCTGTGGCTTCCCCAGCCACTTGGAGGTGCGTCTTCCGACCTGTCTCTGCGTTGTGTCTCTAACGCAGGTGGGAGACAGCACCACCCGCGCGGGCCTGACAGGACTGCTTGGGTCAGTTCCTACAATTTCCTGGGACAGTAGTCAAGAAAACGTTGCTTTCTCCTAGAAATCATTGAGTGAGTAGACAAAGCGTGTCGGGGAAGGGAGGCGGGCGGGGGTAATGCTGCTTCTAAAGGAGGAGGCGTGTCTGTCCTGGCTGGGTCGCTCAGGAGACCCTAGCTTTCAGTTCGATCCTATCTCAGGTTGGCCAGAGCTGGGGGCGACTTTCTGATAGCAGAAAGAAGCTTTCTTCCATGGCCAGTGTCCTCATCTCTCTCCCCCACCCCACACAGATGCGAACACCCCAACAGCCACTTTCTGAGCATTTCCTCTGTGCTATGTGCTTCCTCACAGGACAGGTAATTGGCACAGGGACAGGTTGTTGCTTCTTCCCCCCCACCCCCCATCAACCGATTAGACCTAATGGTTTCCATGGCTGCTCAAACAAAGCCCAGAAAAGCCATGAAAATTCTCAGAAAAGCCCTGGGAGACAGCACCTCCCCCACCCCACCCCATGCAGGAAACTCAGCCTCGCAGCCGCCCTTGGAAGTCTGCTGGGCATGAGGAAGACCAGATCGCTCTAAAAACACCAGCCTCCTCTCGGAGGACGCTGGCTGGGCCTTGAGGAGCGGGGTCTTGATTTCCTCCCTCTGGAGTCAGCGTGGCCAATGGCCATCTATCAACTGACAGTGCAGCTCCGCGAGCCGTGAGATTAAAACGATGATGGAATAATGACAGCAGCTCTGGAAAGAAGAGAGAGCAGGGCCTGGGGTTCTCATCTCTCCTGCGCCCCACCCCCGGGGGCCGGGTCACCATCTGTCAACATGCCACTTGTCCTGCACTGGGGAGAAGCCATGTCAAAGGAGAAACGCGGTCCAAGGGCAGGGAGGATGAGAAGGGGTCCGGCTCCCGGCCGTGGTGTTTTCAAAAGGCCTCAACTGCTTTGACAAAAGCCCAAGGCAGGGAGAGGAAGCTGAACGCGGTCACAGGATCACCAGTGACAGCCCCGGCCGGCTGCTCGCCTGACATGAAAAGATGCTACTGACCCCATCCGTGCCGAGGCGGCTGAAAGAGACAGCGGCTGCGTGAGAGAGGTGGAGGGTGGGGCGCCCAGGCCCCAGGGCCAGGCTCACTGGATGGGGCGCCCAGCCCCCTCCCAGGGAGAGGCCGAGGGCACGGATGTTTCATTCTAACCTAAGCCTTTTTCCCTTTTCCCACCTGAATCATTTTCTCATACAATGAGATCAGGGGAGACATTTTCCCAAGCCTTACTTTCTCGTCGGTGTAAAGGTCGCCCTCCCGTTGGCCTGCAACACCCTCCCCACACAGGCCCATCCCTGGCAGCTGGGGAGGAGCAGAGGCTCCCCCGCAGTGTCTGGGAGGAGAGGGTGCATGAGGGTGTGGGGGCATTAGCCAGGGGCAGAAGTGCAAGGTCTCTGCTGTTTCTGAAAGGAGGAGCCCTCCCTCAGGTACCCGCCCCCGCCCTGCCCCGCTGCCAACATGCTCCACCCCCACCACACTCCAGGTCCTGCTTTCTCCTTCCCGAGCCAGGCAGGACCACCCCCTTTGAGGAGGGAAGGCATATGAACAGCGAGGGCTGCGGGAACGCCCTGGAGAAGGAGTCAGGCTGTGCCAACTATGCCCACCAAACCCAGGCCTTGGTGGTGACACATTTTTCACCATAGCACAAAACAGGTTCACGCTGGCCTCCTGGGCCAGGTTCTCATCTAATGGGCTCAGGTCTGGGCTCACAAGCCCCCGCACCAGTAAGGGCCGAGTTAGTAGAGATGGCCCCGCCGGCCCACACTCATCTTTTCTGCCCTCAGCATCCTGACATCTTGACATTCTCCTAGTGTCCGTCCTGAGAGTGGGCCCCAAATGCCTGCAGCCTCATGGAGGGAGGGCCTGAAGGCAGATCCACTCGGACAGCCTGTCCCCCTCTTGGTCTAGCTCCTTGAGCTGGCCATGGCTCAACAGAGAGGGCGTTTCAGGGCGCCCGGCCTCCCCTACCCCTGAGGACGCAGGACCCTGTAGACCAGCCCAGGGCTGGCCACCACTTCTGTCCAGAGCATCTCTCTGTGGCGGCCGACCTGACCCTCGCAACCTCAAACTAACCGGAACCACCTCCTTGGCCTCAGCATTAATGAGTGTATCTTGTGGCATTTAAGGCAGGTTTAAAGTTTTAAAAAAAAGCCCCCGACACTTCCTTGGTTAAGTGGTTTACCCTTCGTGGTAATTAGATGTAGTGATTGGAATCTCTTTTCTATTACATGGCAATTTTCCTTTAAATTTCCCCTAAAAAAAAAAAGGCAAGAGGAGGCAGGGAAGGAGGAGGGGCAGCAGGGCCAGGAGAGTCATTTGCATTTTGCGAATGAGGCCTCTTGTAAGCTCAGCTCAGGCGTGGGGCCCAACGTATGGAATGCTTAAGAGATTACTAAGAATAAAATCTATTAATTAGTCATACTCAATTCCGCAGACATGATGTGCATCGAAAGCTTCTTTTCTTCCCTTTCTCCTTCCCTCTTCCCAGCCTCACTTGGAAGCCTCCATCTTCCCTCTTCCCGGCCTCTGTGTTAACATGGCAGCCACGTGGCTGGCCAGGGCCCCCCACCAGGGCCCGCAGGCCGGCTTTGAGGGCAGGAGCTGGGGCACTGACTCCTCATTCAGGGTGACGCTGGCCAGGGAGGAGACAGCAGCTGGGAAGATGCCATGGCTGGGGAACCCAGCCCCAACAAGGGGAAACTGAGGCCAGAGCATGAAGGGAGCATCAGAGAGGGTTTCCGGAGTGGTAAAGGGAAAGATGTTTCCCTTTTGTAAAGTGGGGGTGGGCCAAGGCGGGGGCCAGCTTCACCCAGGAAATCTGGGTGTTCCAAAAGTCAAATGGAAGGCCCTCTCCTAATTCTAGGAGGTGCCAGTTGGTCCAGGCAGGTGAAGGAGGCCCAGAGGAGGAGGGACAGGCCAGGTGAGGATCCCTGTGGGGTCTCAGAGGGTTGGCTGGGGCCTGAGGGAGGGGTCGGGTGCCATGTTCAGGACGGCATCTGCGCCTCCCTCCTGCACCCGCTGGAGCTGAGCATGGAGGGGAGGACACCACCCTTCCCCCACCAATGGCAGCTCAGTCCCAAAGCCAACCCACTCCAGAAATCTGCTCCCTGCTGAATGCGCCAGGGAGGAGGATGGGGCTTCTGAGCTTTGTGCTTATGAAAAATACAACAAGGAAAATTGAATGCGGCAAGCAGGGAGCAATAGAGCTGGGAAGGCAACTGGGAGAGAGCTGGGTGCCTGCTGGAAGGAGGGGCCTTGGGCCCAGTGCACTGGGCCCCCAAGGCCAGACCTCGTCCTCATGCCCGGGCGCAGCCAGGGTCCTCTGCGGGCGTCCCGGGTACCCCACGGCTGCTCTCCAAACTCAAATCAGTGCACAGGAACTGGATGGCGCCTGGGTGAGCGCTAACAAGCAGCTCACACCCTGCCAGGCCTCCAGAGCAGGCAATCTTTTTTCTTAAGGAGGGATAAAAAGGCTCAAAAATGCAAATCATTACCGTTTACAACCAAGCGAGTCTGCTAAATTGATTAGGAGAGATTAAACTCCTTGGAGGTGATGGGAAAGGGGATTTTTCGCATTTTATAAACCTGCCCCCAGTGGCTGCGTGCAGATGGCTTTTCCGGACCCGAGGGGCTGCCTCTGAGCAGCTCCGGTGGGGACACTGGGGGTCTTGGAAGGCTGAGGCTTATGCTGGGTTTGAAGGTGCTGGGCCTGAGCGTGGCTTTGGGGAGACTGATTCTCCTCATGTAGTGGCCTGTGCTCCGTTGCGGGGGGCACTTCGGCCCACAAAGTCATTCAGAAACCATCTGAGCCCTCTGCAGACTCTGCCCCTTGACCTCTGCCTTCAGGGGTGAAAAGCAAGGGGAAGTGGCTCATCCAGTTGTTTAGAGGGGAGCCTGGAGCCCTGAGCTTTTCTGGGTCCTTTCTCTTCCAGGGGCTGGGGCTGGAGTGGTGGGGGGGGGGGGGACAGGGATTTACCTCTGATCCACTCCCTGCAGCCAACTGTAAAAGGAAAACTGAAGGTCAGGGAAGAGAAACTCTGGTCTAGCAAAGGAGCCAGACAGTGAGCTCCCCGTCCCTGGCAGCATCCAAGTCCTTGATGGGGCTGTGGCAGAGTTTCCTGCCTAAGCCAAGGCCTGACTCTGTGACCAGAAGATCCTGGCTCCCTCCTTTACTTTATCACCCCGAGGGTCCTGCAAGGAAGGGGTCCCCTGAAATCCCTGGTCAGGGCTGTGACATAGTCAGGCCGTCCAGGACTATCAAAGAGCCACCAGCGAAGAGGCCAAACCCTCCTATCTTTGTCCAAGAGGCAGCGGGAGAGGAAATGCAGGGGCACCTCCAGGACGCGGCGGCCTGCGGTCCCTGTGTGTGCCAGGCCCTACCCCGGCTCCGCGGGGCTTTTTCCCCAACTCAGCAGTTCCTGGCTGCTGCTCAGTCCTTCTCCCCAGCCAGGCTGGGGCTGCTGGGGTGGGGGGCGCTCCTCACTCTGCATTTTCAAGCATTTTTCATTTCTTTTGAAATGTTCCAAGTAGTTGCCTGAAATATCCACATTTGCTTCTTTAAAAACAATCACAAAAGATTCCCTTGGCTCTTGATGCTCCTCCTCCCTCTCTGCATATTTAACACAGCAGAGGTTTTTCCCCCTCTGCTTTCAGAAATTCCACTACTGCCAGGGTCAGGCCCACTTTCTCACTGTCAATGAGATTTGCGGGTGTGCCCAGGGCCCCTGTGACCGAGAAGCAAAGTTCACCTTTTCTCCAAGTCTCCCCTGGAGAGCCTGGGGGGGTCCTGCCTTACTCCCCACCAGAGGTCTTGGCAGGCCCCCACTCGCTGAGCCCACTGTCACGCCCCCACCGGTTTGCTGAAATGCTTGCTGGTGCTGGGGAATGTGGTCAGTCAGCCCCCCACCCACTCACCCCCACCCAGCACTCGCCCATCAGCCACCAGGATGCCGCGAATCTGTCCTTCCCACACACACCCCTGCCCCCCACACCAGCAAGCCCAAAGGCCAAGCCCACAGAGTCCCTGCAAGACAGTCTTGGCTGTCACCACCCCTAATCTCTTACAGCCGTCAGGGTGGACGCTGGGCCATGAGGCCCAGCAGGTGCCTGGCACACGGGCGTGCTCCAGCCTCCTCCTCCGTCCTCTCACTTCCTCCTCCTCCCCACCTGCCGTCCACCTCCTCAGGCCGTGCACAAGGCCCAGAGGGTGTGTGGGCCCGGCCTTCCTGTCATCATCCGCGCCCGCCCTGCTGGCAGCCTGGCCAGGGCACATCTCCCTCTGCCATCCCTTGGACCCACCAACAATCAGCTGTGAGCCGCTGGCCTGGGTGACTCAGTTTCCCCTCTCCCAATGGAGCCTCAAGTTGGTGACCAGGGAGGTGAAGAACGGGGTGTCCCACCTTGCCTAACGCTCCTGTCGAGTTCCCGTACCCCAAGCCACCACCTGGAGGAACTACCCGGTTTTCTGCTCAAGACCAAGGAGATAAAAGCAAGAGGAGCGACCCACCGCAGAGCGCAGCTGGCAGCCACGCTCTCCTCCCGGAGCTGGGCTGTCCAGGGCGCCTCCCGGCGGCGGACATGGCTGCAGAGTGTGCAGAGACACTCCCTCTGGCTGGCGGGAGGCACCCGGACCCCTGAAACTAGCCTTAGCTTGTTACTGGCCCAACACACCTCCTGCCCGCAGGCCAGCACCCTGGCTGAGAAGCAAGGGGAGAGGCAGGACTGGGATGGGGGTGTTGTTTCTTTTGATGGGGGACGCTGGTGCCTTCCAGCTCATAAAGAGACACAGAGGTTTGTCATCTGAGCTAGCAAGTGAGGGAGAGAGTGGAGAGGGAGTGGGGTTGAGGGCTGAGGGAGGCGGGAAGTTGTTAGCACAGGCCAGCAGAGCTAAGGTTAAGGTGGCAACTGGGGCTGCTGGGAAGCCCTAGGCAAAGAAAATAAACAGAACCCCCAGCCAGAAGCACTGCAGAGCGAGGTCTCCTAACCAGTGACAGCAACTCCCTTCCCCATGACAACGAGACATAAGGTATCTGGATCTCAGCTGGCACCGGAAGAGATCCTGGCATCCCTGGCGCTGGACTTCCGGCAGCCAGCTGAGGAGATGGCCAGGGTGGAGTTCTTGGCCAGACCCGGGGACGGGTGGGTCCCTCTGCTGTGGAAGGCGGGTGCCCGTGGCTGACGGCCTGCGGAGGGCAGGCCTGGTCTCTCCCAAAGCTGTGACTCCTTCTGCCACCCCAGGGGCCCCTGTCTAGGCGCGACGGAGCCTCTGCCCTTCCAACCTGCAGACTCAGCCCAGCGTCCATGTCCTTGTCTCCTTCCTTTGTTCTGAGGGTGGAGCAATTCTGGGTGATGGGGCTGCTCCTGCCGCTGCTGCTGCTGCTGCCGCTGCCGGCCAGGTCCCAGGCCTGCCTGCCTCATTCCCAGCCTCCCCTCCAGACGGGGCTTCCGGGAAAACTGAGACCCACAACCCCCACGACGACAACCCAGACCAAAGTGCACTGCGAGCCGCCCTGTGACCTCCTTCTAGTAGGTGCCTTGAAACTTCAACGTTGAGATGAATGTGATCAACTATTTGGTCCTATTTTCTGTTTGTCTGTTTTCATATAAGATGTCCAGGTCCACTTTCCTTGTCCTTTCTTGAAATAAATAGAAAGATTTAACTTTTACAGTCCTCTTGGCTGCTGACTCTCAGCTTGGTGCCCAGCGGGCCGGCGCCAGGGCCGAGACGCACGGTGGGCTCGGCCGCCCCGCCCCTCCCGGCTCTCACCCCAGGGTGGGCTCGGCTGTCGGTAGCCTCTGGTGGAGGATGGAGCAAGTTCCGGGGGGCACCACCCCAAAGCAAAACACTGACCCTTCTGCCAGATGGACCCATCCTGACCCCAGCCCAGGCCCAGGGCAGGGAGGTCGTGAGCTGAAGGCCAACTCCGAGGGCCCTGCGTGGAGCTGCATTAGGGAGCCCGTGGATTATCCCGTAAGAGGCTCCAGCTCCTGTGCGGACACCCAATCAGCCTGGAGCTGTGGGGGTGTGGGGAGTGTGCCTTTCCTGCCCCCACCCCTCCACCCCACCCCCACCCGTAAGCACACACCTGGGTTCCTCCCCCCAGACACCCGCCCTCCCTGGACGCACCCACCACATTCACAGCTCCCAGGCCTTGTCTGATCTCCCACATCCCACAGAGGGGGAAAAAATAATTTTCCATGAGAACAATAGCAGTTTCTGCTAAATTTAACATAAAATAAGAACTCATTACTTCTGCCTTAGATCTGATTTCACGTCTGGATATGGGTTAATGAGCTTTTCCTTCTATTCCAAGGGAGCACATGTATTCCTCCACGTGCTTTGATGATGGGTCACCTGACTGGGGTGATGGGGCCCTGACTCCTCAGGGGCCCCCCTGCGCCCCCACCCTCCTTTCTCAGTCCTCACCACCCATCCTGCTGTGGGGGGCGGGGGGCAGCCCAGGGCCCGTGCACGGTGGGTGCCCAGGAAGTGCCAGGGCTCAGCTGACTCTGTCCACCAGGCAGCTGGTCAGCAAGTATTGATGAGCCCTACTGGGTACTGGAGCCAGTGTCTCCCTACAATGGACCCACCCCCAGCTCACCTCACCCTCCACACAGTGGTGCTGGTGACCCAGCCACAAAGCCCAGCCCCCAGGGGCGGGAGGGCTGGTTCCCAGACTGGATTCCTCAGCGCCTACAGTTAATCAGTGGGCGTTTGCCCAGCAAAGGTTCATGGTCACATGTATTTGGAAACAACCAGATTAATGTCACTGTCAGACTCAGGACTAAAAGTTCCAGTTCAAGGGGAAGAGTGAAGCCATTACCCTCCTGCTCTTACCTGGCTACCACCAGGTTCCAGAAGTTTCCCTCCTGCCTCCACCAAGCAGTGGTCTTGGACCCCACCAAGCATCCCGGAGAAGAGGCGATCAAGCCTGGAAGTATCCACCAGCCCTGAACTAACCCCCACACCCAAGTTCCAGCCCAGTCTTCACACCCTGCTTAAGAGGTCCTGGACAGAAGCGAGGTCACCCGGCTAGACCCTAGTGCTGCCCAGGAGGTCTGGGGCAAGCTTGCTCATCCACGTGCAGGCACCCAAAACAAAGGTGCTCCCTGGCCTGCGCCCTTCCCTCCTCTGCACCTAGGTCCTCAGGTCAGCACCTGCCTCCCCGCCCGTCTGGCCTGCAGGAAGGACCCTCCCCCCAGGGCAAAGTAAATGGGCTCTCTAAGCCACTAACGGACAGCACAAATGAAATCCCAACAACCCCCCCGCAACGCCCCGAGATTTACAGGGGAAGTGAAATCTTATTTGCACCACTGCCAAGCCCGGGATGCGATGAAATTATGCCTCGAGAAGAGACCTGGCCGGCTTGCTTACTCGGAAGCGGCTGCATCGGAGACCGGCTTATTAAAAGCCACAGCGGCCACATTTCAACCTGTTTCAGGTGTTAAGTAATTTACTGCCACCCAGCATTCAGTGGCAGGTTTTTATCATTTTTATTTCCATGATGCAGGCAAGTGCGCCCCTCTCCCCTCCGCCCTGCACAGGGATCTGCAGGTCTAAATGCTCCCGCCCCACCCCCAGCACTGCAGAGGGAATGGGGGGGTGCAGAGAGGCAGCAGCGGGTCTGACTCTCCCCAGGATGAGACATCAGTCAATACCCAGAGTGACAGGGAGGACAGGCTCTCAGACCCCCACCCACATTTGGGGTGCAGTGAACCCCAAAGACCTTCAGGTGTTTTCTGAAGGTAGTAGCAGTGCGAGACAGAAACCACCCATCTCAGGACCTGCTGCCACCCGCATGGTCAGCAAGTCTTGACTGAGAGCCTGCTGTGTGCCAGGCTCAGCGAGGTTGGGGGCACAGTGAGTGGAGCCCCGAAGACCCCTGCCCTGTGGAGCCCACATTCGCTGGCCAGTGTTGAATACAAACTTGCACTGGTTGATTAAAA